ATTCTGGAAAGTTAATATTTGGTATAAACTAACTTCAAATATTCTTCTATAACCACAAAAAGTTCCATTTTTGAATTTGAACTGTTTCAGAGAAAAATGATTTTTTCTTAAATTCATTTTCAAGAAACGTTAAATTAAATGGATAAAAATTGTTATAAAAAGAACCGTTCAACCTAGAAATGTAAAATTTGGTATAATCTAACCTCAAACATTTATTTACCACCTCAAAAAATTTCGTTTCTCAATTACAAGCCAATTTGGAGAAAAAAAGAATTTTCTTTAACATAATTTTCAAAACGTGAAATTGAAATTGGTATTTTATAATGAAATTCTAAAGAAAAGTATTTACTCTGGAAGCTTAATGTTTGGTATCACCTAACCTCAAATAATCTTCTATAACCTCAAAAAGTTTCATTACTGTATTTCAAACAATTTCAGAGAAAAACGATTTTTTCTTAACCTCATTTTCAAAAAACGTCAAATATAAATTGATGATTTATAAAAATTTTTATAAAAAAACCGTTCAACCTAGAAATGTAAAATTTGGTGNGGTTTAGCCGTCTTGAGAGACGTGCGGCTAAACCCGAATATTTCTAGTTCTAGGTCTAGTGTTGGCCGAATGTTTCTAGTTCTACAAAACTAAAAAGCAGTCCTGTTAGATTCTACTATCCTTGCATTCATATATTGCGAGTTATATGAAATTCCCTGTATATTTAATTAAAGTTAAAAGATCATATTTGAATATGAGAAAAAGAAATAATAAAGTCCGTATAAAAAAATTTCCTAGAAAAAAAACTTGGAAATTTTTAGTTAGGTTATCAGCTAAATAAACGAAACAATGTAGAGAATTATTCTAGATGTATTTTTAGAAGTTGAGATATGACTCATACATTAAATTGTAGCCAAAAGATCATATTTTAAAACGAAAGATAAGCTCCCAAGATACAAAGATGATTTACAACAAGATGTTACATTCTAGATTGTAATTTAATATGGTTCCGATGAAACTATGCAAACAAGAGCAATTGGTGTGATCATTAATGGCTCTACAAATACTGTTCTGACCCGTAAGATGATGAGTTACAAATTTCTGATGGCGGTGTCTTTTCAATCACTCGTCAATTAGAAATTGGATCACCCGTCAACCTTTCTGGACAAGAACATGTTGGAATATGATTAATTACATCGTATCTAGCGTTTCAGCAACAAGTTTCAAGATAGGAATCAATACACTTATTTCTGGAGCATTAATATGATTCAACGAAAAATTTCAAATCAATACAATTTAAAAAACATAAAGAAAAAGTCACAACAATCAACTCAACAAGAGATATTAGCTAAGTTGCTGCAATATATAGCGTTAAATAGGTTGTGGCCGAGGTCCTGAAATCTACTTCATTAACAAGATATTAACCGAGACGCTATAATTTACAATGTTAAAGAGACATTAGACATAACAAATATCTACAAAGCTACTTATTGTTGCATCTTAGCAAATATCTCTTCAATGTTGGTTAAAGTTTAATACCTTTGAGTTAATAAGCTTGTTTACGATATACAATATTTTTTATTAAGATTAAAATAGTAATTATTTCAAAAATTCCTTTTTTTTAGTAAAAAATAACTTAAAAAATAGAAAAATAAATCATTTGTAACAATTAGCTTTTTACTTTCAACAAAATCACAATTTTTTGTTAACAACAACGGAATATAATGATTCGAAATGAAACATTTTCTTTATTCAAATAAAATGTTGAAGAAAATAGGGTTCTTTTTGATCTTATTAAAAATTTTATTTCTTATTAACGTCGTTAAATGTGGTTTTCCTGATGATTGCACCACAGCTTTACCAGCTTTAGATAAATACACTAACACCAAGGTATGTCAAAAAAATATTTTTAGCAATTTATTCTAATTTAATCCTGACTTAAGTGTTTAAACATTTGGTATCTATCTGCATCAACTTCTAAATGCAACAATTGTTGCGTGGTCAGAAAAATATATGATAACGGACCAGCTAAAATTATTGTAATCGATTTGATTAAGAAACCATTTGGAAAAAAAGTTAACATACCAATACCCTGGGTTAGAGATCCAAACAAGCTTCAATACGCGCATATTAACGGTAATTTACTTTAACTAATAAGAAGGAGTTATAATAATATGCTAAATCTTTTAGGTAATAGCACAGTTGTTGGTTTAGATTGCGATTCTTACGCAGTGATTCGCGCGAAAAGTGAATTACAACTTTGGGTTAGAAATCCAAATACAACGGTTGGATGTATACTTGAAATGAAACTTTGTAATGAGAAGCTTTTTAATTATAACCCGGGTAAGTCTTGTGATGGGGTTAAAATTTAAAAAAATTAAAATTGTTTTATGATAAATTTGTTGTTTAAATTTTTTTATAAAAAAGCTGTTCATCCTAGAAATTTAAAAATTGGTATAACTAAACCTCAAACATTCGTTTATCACCTCAAAAAATGTCATTTCTTAATTACAAGCCAATTTGGAGGAAACAATTTTTTTTGTTTAACATAATTTTCAAAACGTCAAATTGAAATTGGTTCTGAAAAATGAAGTTCTAAAGAAAAGTATTTATTCTGGAAAGTTAATATTTGGTATAAACTAACTTCAAATATTCTTCTATAACCACAAAAAGTTCCATTTTTGAATTTGAAACTGTTTCAGAGAAAAACGATTTTTTCTTAAATTCATTTTCAAGAAACGTTAAATTAAATGGACGATTGATAAAAATTGTTATAAAAAGAACCGTTCAACCTAGAAATGTAAAATTTATTAACTTCAAACATTTATTTATCACCTCAAAAAATTTCGTTTCTCAATTAGAAGCCAATTTGGAGAAAAAAAGATTATTCTTTAACATAATTTTCAAAACGTCAAATTGAAATGCTATCTTATAAAGAAGTTCTAAAGAAAAATATTTACTCTGGAAGCTTAATATTTGGTATCACCTAACCTCAAATAATCTTCTATAACCTCAAAAAGTTTCATTACTGTATTTCAAACTATTTCAGAGGAAAATGATTTTTTCTTAACCTCATTTTCAAAAAACGTCAAATATAAATTGATGTTTTATAAAAATTTTTATAAAAAGAACCGTTCAATCTAGAAATGTAAAATTTGGTATAACCTAACCTCAAACATTTATTTACTACCTCATAAAATTTAATTTCTCAATTACAGGTCAATTTGGAGAAAAAACAATTTTTTTATCATAATTTTCAAAACGTTAAATTGAAATTGGTATCTTATAATGAAGTTCTAAAGAAAAGTATTTACTCTGGAAGGTTAATATTTGGTATAACCTAACCTCAAATATTCTTCTATAACCTCAAAAAGTTTCATTACTGTATTTCAAACTATTTCAGAGAAAAACGATTTTTCCTTAAATTCATTTTCAAGAAACGTTAAATTAAATGGATGATTGATAAAATTTTTTATAAAAAAACCGTTCAACCTAGAAATGTAAAATTTGGTATAACCTAACCTCAAATATTTACTTACTACCTCAAAAAATTTCATTTCTTAATTACAAGCCAATTTGGAGAAAAAAAGATTTTTCTTTAACATAATTTTCAAAACGTCAAATTGAAACTGGTATTTTATAATGAAGTTCTAAAGAAAATTATTTACTCTGGAAGATTAATATTTGGTATAACCTAACCTCAAATATTCTTCTATAACCTCATAAAGTTTCATTACTTTCTTTCAAACTATTTCAGAGAAAAACGATTTTTCCTTAACCTCATTCTCAAAAAACATCAAATATAAAGTGATGATTAATAAAAATTTTTATAAAAAGAACCGTTGAACCTAGAAATATAAAATTTGGTATAATCTAACCTCAAACATTCGTTTACCACCTCAAAAAGTTTCATTACAGTATTTCAAACTATTTCAGAAAAAAACGATATTTCCTTAACTACATTTTCAAAAAACGTCAAATATGATTTATAAAAATTTTTATAAAAAGAACCGTTCAACCTAGAAATATAAAATTTGGTATAACCTAACCTCAAACATTCGTTTACCACCTCAAAAAGTTTCATTACACTATTTCAAACTATTTCAGAAAAAAACGATATTTCCTTAACTACATTTTCAAAAAACGTCAAATATGATTTATAAAAATTTTCATAAAAAGAACCGTTCAACATAGAAATATAAAATTTGGTATAACCTAACCTCAAACATTTGTTTACCACCTCAAAAAGTTTCATTACAGTATTTCAAACTATTTCAGAAAAAAATGATATTTCCTTAACTACATTTTCAAAAAACGTCAAATATGATTTATAAAAATTTTTATAAAAAGAACCGTTCAAGCTAGAAATATAAAATTTGGTATAACCTAACCTCAAACATTCGTTTATCACCTCAAAAAGTTTCATTACAGTATTTCAAACTATTTCAGAGAAAAACGACTTTTCTCTAAACCTCATTTTCAAAAAACGTCAAATATAAATTGATGATTTATACAAATTTTTATAAAAAGAACCGTTCAACCTAGAAATATAAAATTTGGCATAATTGAACCTCAAACATTCGTTTACCACCTCAAAAAGTTTCATTATTGTATTTCAAACTATTTCAGAAAAAAACGATTTTTCATTAACACCATTTCCAAAAAATGTTAAATATAAATTGATGATTTATAAAAAAATATGTAAAAAAACCGTTCAATCTAAAAAAGTAAAATTTGCTATAATATGTTTGGTAATGAAGAGGTTTTATTTTACAATTTCAATCAATTTTAGAAAAAACGTTTCTTGTTGTTAAAACTTGTTTGAAAGCATTAAGAATCGTTTGAGGGCGTTGAAAATGATCTGAAGGTGTTGAGAATCGTTTGAAGTTGTTAAAAGTAGTGCAAACTTGTGTAGAATCATCCAAGATTGTTAAAAAATAATTAGATGGGTAAAATAAGAATATTTAAAGGGTCATTAATTTTGCAAAAAGGAATAAAGAAAAAAACTTACGTCTCTCATCTTGTCCTTGCTTTGTCCGCCCTTTTAATCCAAGATCATCCTACTATCTGCAACATAAACATAACAAAAAACATAAATCTCCATTACAGATTATTTTATAAACAATCAAACATGTTTTGATTAAACAATTTGCGTCATTGAAAATAGTTTCAATAAAGTATTAATTTTAAAAAATTTATTTCGATGATAGTTTTTATTTATGTCGGGTATAAAAGAAAAGGTTAAAAGTTTAAGAGAACATTTTGAGGACGCCAAAATATCTATCTTGACCTTGCGACCAGGCGCAGTTGCTGCGGATTTATTCCACGATTTTTATGCACTAATAATAGTGCAAGGTTACATTTGAAACTGACGTCAAGGCTCACACTCGTCGTAATCTCGTCGGTGTGTGTATATGAGTCGTTGTTGCATTTCCTATGCAGCGATGTTGACCCTGAATGAGTCTTCTTAAAAAACGATCTTAAAATAATTTGCTTTACGTAACTCAACGAATTGGTTTTTTAATTATTTCATTTTTTTTGGCAAAAATTTTGCACTAAATCAATTCAAATACTTAATTGTTAAAATTAACTTATTTTGGTTCAAAGGAAATTGAAGATTTGTTTTTCATTAGATAAGTAGCGAAAAAAACCTCGTAGGTCATGTTCGGAATCTATTTTCGGTTTCCATTTTAAAGGTCAAAGGTCAGTAGTCTTCAAATGATAAAATTGGGGATTTTTTTGAAGATTTTGATTGCAACTCACCGTTTTTCCTGCTTAGAGGAGTGCGTTTTCTCGGTAATTTTTGCAACGAAAATTTTTTGGGTGTTGGAAATCTTTGCTAAAACGAAACGGTGTCCTTAGCGGGACGCCATGTTGGATTTTCACTTTTGAATGTATTGAGCGGTTCGTGTATTATCGCATCGTTGAACGGTGTTATTTCACATTTTTTCACGACTATTTTTGGATCATTTAAACCAACAACGTCACCGGCAAACAATGTTTTAATCCGGGAAACTTAACATAAACTTGTAGTAACCTCAAAGTTACGTAATTTTTGGGTTAATCTTTAACTTTTACCTTTCTCGTTTTTGTTTTGTTTTTATCCATTTCCTTTTTAATTCGATTTGTTTACTTACCCTTCGTGACGCGGTTACACAACGCAATTAGAAAACGTCCTTGACTTTAACATTGACACAAGATTGTTTACATGATCAAGTTATGTTGTTATTTTGAAAATTAATTTTTTTCTTTCGCATCTTTTTTGGTTTTTGCCGATTTTTTTGTGAATTTGATTGATGTTGAAAATTTTTTAGTTACCGTTGAAGATGTTGCTGAGATGTTGGTTGATGTTGGCGGGATTTAAGTCTCTTTTGTTGATAAACTAAAACCGAGTTTAAGTTCTAAACGGGTGAAAATCCGTTTGTTTTTCCGGCGAAAATGCGCGGTGTGGAGCACTGGGTTTCCCGGACCTTTCCTAACAATCACTGGCGTGTGCCAGTGCAGCGCTGCACTACATTCTCATCGTCCTTTTCTAGTAGCTGCGCTGTATGCGCTCGTGATAACAACGCAGACGTGAACGTTTGGCCCTTATGCGTGCCACTGTCATTCATAAAAGTGCATTTACAATTATAAATCAAATTAAGATTTCTAAACAAATTACTTAACCCAAAAAAAATTAATCCATTTTTAGGGAATCAAAAAAAAATTTGGATTTTTAGATTAAGAACAAATTTTATCTCAATTTAGATGATTTCGTCGAAAATCTTTTGAGGTGACAACGTTGATAACGTTATTTTTGAAAAATCGAATTCGATGATTGCAAGAACTTTGCACCTTGGTGCATAAGGGCGTCAAAACAAAATAAAAGTGAAATTATCTGCGATCGATGCGAGGTTGTTGAACCCTCCTCGTTGCTCCCGGAGTCCCGGACTACTCCCGGAAAAGCTAAAATAGGCAAAATTAAAAAAAATCCCAAATCATTTCTCAAAATGAATCCTCACAATTCCCAAAAAAATTAAAGATCACGATTTGAATCGAAATAAGATTAATTCGGATGAATTCAACACAAAAAAAGCTTCTTTGTATGTACTTCATAATAGGGTTGATGAATCATTGACGTGTATTTTTAAGGGCATAGCCCTCGGGTTCAATCAAAACATTGAAACTCCAAGCCTCGGGACCAAGTCGTTCCAAATCGATCGAATCGGCGTGCAGTTGCGTGTCGGTTACCATGGAAAGTGTTGGCCCAGGTCATGCGAGGTCAAACCAGGACCTTCCGCAAGCGGAAACTACCCGAATCCCGGTTTCCGAAGCGATTTTCTTAAATCACCAAAAAAAAATTTTAATCTAAAATTAATAAGTTAAATTTTTTTGAGTCTTAGTGGAACAAGGGCAACTAACATAGAAGTGTTCTGTTAACATTCAGAGCAAGGGCCAACGACCGCCAGTGTGGGTCGAGGTTCCCCCCCACGGTTTTCGCGATTTCCCCCCACTTAATCACCTGTCTGCACAACGAGGAAACTTTGGATTATCGGCACATTCAATAATGTTGATACGGAATTAAGAATCAAGTTCAAAGTCTTGATTCAAAAAAATCAATGCCAAAAAATTTAATTAACATAAATTTTTAACCCAAAATTAAGATGACCTAATTATTTTATTTATTATTTTATCATTTCAAAAACTCATTCATCATCCCTCATCATCCGAAATCATTTATTTTAATCCAAATCAAACATCTAGAATGATTTGATCATCAAATCATCAAGCGGATATTCCTCGATCTTCTAGTTCGTTCTTCTTCAGCTTTTCTCTTCTTGGTGGCTTTAGTAGGATAGTGGGACAGGTCATTGACACTTCCATTACACATATACTTCTTGTTTGACAGAAACCATCAACAGGTACGCGAAGCTTCAAATACCTCATTAAATCAATTTATTTAATAAAAATTAAAATAACGGAGTTTATCAAAAAAAAAAAATAAACCGTTTTTTTATCAAACATTTAACGGGTTCAAAATATGAGGGCACAAAGAATGTTTACGTTAGAAATTACAATCATTTAAGTGATTATAACGGTTATGACCACATTTTCTGATTTTGTGGTGTTACAAGGGTTTATGTCCGAATCGATCATCGCAGTCTTTAGACTCACCATAAACCCGCTGCGCCTCCCCCAAAAAAGAAATTCTTTTTCTCTTCCTAATTAATCCTCGCCAAGTAAAATATCCAAATCTAATCGCACAAAAATCACTTAATTGCAAAAATTCAAGCACAAATCACTCAAAAAAAAATTCTTCTTCTTAACCAAAATAAACCAGAAGATGTTATTAACTTTGCACGACACGAAAGACACTAAATACCGAGCTGTCAAAACATTGTCGTTGTATGTTGGAATTGTGCGCACCAACAGCCGTTCGTTCTGTTGCGGCGTCCGAAGAAGTAAGTAATACGTCTAAGTTGGACGGCGCGATAGGTGCGCACGACTGAAGCGCCACAGGTAGCCACCGGGACGAACTACGGCCTCATCGGCTAACGGGACCTCGCCGTGGCCTACGGGTCGTTCACCCTCAAAAACGAACTTGAGAGTCGCTCTGCTGGCCTCTCTCTACAAGACCGTTCGGTTTCAGGAAGTTGCTCGGCGAAGAGAACCAAGCAAACGACGAATCATCATCGACGCAACCGACCAGGAGAGCTTTTACCTTCCGTTTCGTTTTGGTCCTGTTATAAAACGTTCAATCTCAAGGATGTATTTAAAATAATTCAAAAGTATATATACTTGCTGTCTTGACACTCAATTAAAATTTTAATGGACATTGATAATAACAAGATGAAGTTAAGAAGCAAATAATGCTAAATTTACACCACAATACTTATCATATCAGATTTAAAACTATATCGTATATATGGATTACCCCAAATCCATAAACCAGATGTCCCATTACACCCTATCGTCAGTGCCATAAATTCTCCCACCAATCAACTAGCAAAACATCTTGCCAAGATTCTGTCTCCTTTTACTGGTAAAACAGAATCATATGTCAGAGATTTCAGACAATTTGTAGAATCAATCAGGAGTATGAAGTTAGACCCCCAGGATATCTTGAGTACCAATCACCAGAGTACCAATCAAAGATGCCGTGGGTTGGTCTTCGCCAGAAACTCAATCCGGAGGGTTTGCCGAAGGATGTCCCATGACTAGTGGAGTACCACCTATCATCAACATATTTTAGCTGGAAAGGAGAATTCAATGTGAAGGGGCAGCCATGGGATCACCTCTGTCACCTGGAATGCACCACAATTTTTACATAGAGATATTTGAAGAACCGAAGCTATGGTTACTAAACCTCCGTTACGTTGATGACACTTTCATGATCTGGCAACATAGAAAGGAGCGACTCTAGGAATTTCTAGACAACAAGTTGCCATTCCTGGATGTGTTGGACACTAGGAAGATAGATAAGGGCATGGTACTGGGGCTATATCGAAAGAAGACGCATATGGTAGCTGCAGGCTTTATCCCACCACCACCCACAATACAAGAGGTCCGTGATACAAGCCTTATCCCAGCGAGCAGAGATTATATGTGATAAAGACAACCTAAAGAAAGAAGAAAGATTCCTAGAAAATGTACTGCAGAAGAACTGCTATACGATGAGGAATATCAAACGAACCACTAAACCACGCAAACAGAAAGATGACTCGGTAAGTACGACACCAGCCGGTTTTATCTGCCTTCCTTATGCTTCAGGTGTGTCGGAGCGAATTGCGAGATATCTGAAGAAGAATGATATCGTGGTACGATACGGTATGGTCAGGAAAATACAAAACGCTCTTCCGATACCCAAACACAAACTAACCCCATTAAAGGGAGTCTATCGGCTATCGTGTAATTGCGTTGGCCAAACTGGACGTAACATCAAGCCGCATCAAGGACCACTAGAGGGACGTCTGACTGAATAAAATTCAACAATCTGCAGTTGCAGAGCATTGCCACAAAAGAGGACACACCATGGAGTTCGACAAGACTAAAGTGCTAGCAAGAACCGGACATTACTTCTAAAGAAGGACGAGAGGGGCGATAGAGATTCATCGACATGGGAATAACATAAATAGAGAGTGATAATTGGTTCAACAGTATTTTTATACACAATGATGTCTAAAAGCTGATTCTGATGATTTTTATACCTAAATGATTTACTGCCTAAAAAATGTTATTATCTTAATTTCAAAATCTAGAGTCTTATCTTCTTATGACAAAGTCTAGTTTATCTGCCCAGTAGGTATTCCTGTGCAATTACATAAATAAAATCAAAAATGTTTCTTTTATAGTTTCTATTTTCTCCTTTCTTGAGATAGCATCCAAAGTGGAAAGGTCAAATTTGAAGCCATATACAACTATGTAAATGGTCCTTGTAGGATTATTCAACACTGGGTTCTTAATATCTGATATGTTTTGGGGTTCTGTTATCTGATGATGATTTTGGATTTGAACCCAAGATACCATGATAAACATTACAGCAAGGTTCTATTTAAAACCTCATAACAATCAAATTTATGGGAACTAAGAAATTATTTGTGACACCATAAAAATAGATTAAATTTGCTTTAAAATACTTTTTATCTCATCATGATATCTCAATTGATTTTTGAAATATGACTTTTTTTTATGGTGAATAAGATTAAGAAATTGTTAAATTGACGAAAATTTGATTTGAAGCATCGTATCTCAACAACGAAATGAGATATCGCCATGAAATAAAAAGCGTTTTAAAGCAAATTTAATCAAGTTTTAACTCACCGAAAATATTTCTGTCGTTTCTATAAATTTTGGTGATACAATTTTTTTAAGTTTACTTTGCCAAGATTGAGGTTAAATTGGTAAAATTTACTTTAAAGCAACGTATCTCATTAATAAATTGAGATATCACCATGAAATAAAAAGCATTTTAAAGCAAATTTAATCAAGTTTCAACTCACTAAAAATATTTCTTTTGTTTCTATAAATCTCGGTGATACGATTTTTTTAAGTTAATTTTTCCGTGATTGAGGTTGATTGATAAAATTTGTTTTAAAGCAACGTATCTCACTAACTAATTGAGATATCACCATGAAATAAAAAGCGTTTTAAAGCAAATTTAATAACGATTTAATGAANAGAGGGGCGATAGAGATTCATCGACATGGGAATAACATAAATAGAGAGTGATAATTGGTTCAACAGTATTTTTATACACAATGATGTCTAAAAGCTGATTCTGATGATTTTTATACCTAAATGATTTACTGCCTAAAAAATGTTATTATCTTAATTTCAAAATCTAGAGTCTTATCTTCTTATGACAAAGTCTAGTTTATCTGCCCAGTAGGTATTCCTGTGCAATTACATAAATAAAATCAAAAATGTTTCTTTTATAGTTTCTATTTTCTCCTTTCTTGAGATAGCATCCAAAGTGGAAAGGTCAAATTTGAAGCCATATACAACTATGTAAATGGTCCTTGTAGGATTATTCAACACTGGGTTCTTAATATCTGATATGTTTTGGGGTTCTGTTATCTGATGATGATTTTGGATTTGAACCCAAGATACCATGATAAACATTACAGCAAGGTTCTATTTAAAACCTCATAACAATCAAATTTATGGGAACTAAGAAATTATTTGTGACATCATAAAAATAGATTAAATTTGCTTTAAAATACTTTTTATCTCATCATGATATCTCAATTGATTTTTGAAATATGACTTTTTTTTATGGTGAATAAGATTAAGAAATTGTTAAATTGACGAAAATTTGATTTGAAGCATCGTATCTCAACAACGAAATGAGATATCGCCATGAAATAAAAAGCGTTTTAAAGCAAATTTA